TAATTGTTTCTATTTCCTTAGTGTTAGTCGTGATCTCTCCCCTTTCATTCATAATTTTATTAATTTGGGTCCTTTCTCTTTTCTTTTGAATTAAGTCTGGCCAGTGGTTTATCTATCTTATTAATTCTTTCTAAGAACTAGCTTCTAGTTTCATTGATCTGATCTGCTGTGTTTCTGGTTTCTAATTCATTGATCTCTGCTCTAATCTTAATTATTTCTCTTCTAATGCATGGCATAGGCATCGTTTGTTGTTTTTCTCTAGATCTTTAAGGTGTAGAGTTAGTTGGTGAATTCGGGATTTTTCTATTTTTTTGAGTGAGGCTTGGATGGCTATGTATTTCCCCCTTGGACCACCTTTGCAGTATCCCATAGGTTTTGGACCGATGTGTTCTCATTCTCATTGGTTTCCCTGAATTGTTTAAGTTCTTCTTTGATTTCCTGGTTGACCCAAACATTCTTGAGCAGAGTGGTTTTTAGCTTCCAAGTGTTTGAATTTCTTCCAAATTTTTTCTTGTGCTTGAGTTCCAGTTTTAGAGCATTATGGTCTGAGAATATGCAGGGAATAATCTCAGTTTTTGGTATCAGTTGAGACCTGATTTGTGACCCACTATGTGGTCTATTCTGGAGAAAGTTCCATGTGCGCTCAAGAAGAATAAGTATTCTGTTGTTTTAGGGTGGAATGTTCTGTGTATATCTGAGGTCCATCTGGTCCAGTGTGTCATTCAAAGCTCTTGTTTCTTTGTTAATTTTCTGCTTAGATGATCTGTCTATTGCTGAGAGTGGAGTACTGAGGTCTCCTACAATTAACGTATTGTTATCAATATGATTCTTTATTTTGGTTAACAGTTGGCTTATGTAGATGGCTGCTCCCATGTTAGGGGTGTAGATATTTACAGTTGTTAGATCTTCTTGTTAGATAGACCCTTTAAGAATGATATAGTGTCCTTCTGTGTCTCTAACTACAATCTTTAGTTTAAAATCTAATTTGTCTGATATAAGAATTGCTACCCCAGCTTTCTTTTGAGGTACGTTGGCATGGAAGATGGATCTCCATCCTTTCACTTTCAGTCTGGATGTATCTTTAGGTTCAAAATGAGTCTCTTGTAGGCAGCATATGGATGGGTCCTGTCTTTTTATCCTATCTGCAACCTTGTGCCTTTTTATGGGAGTATTTAGGCCATTCATGTTGAGAGTGATTATTGAAAGATATTAATTTATTGTCATCATGTTGCCTGTGAAGACCTTGTTTTTATAGATTGTCCCTGTAAATTTCTGTTGTATATCACTCTTGGGGTCTTTCTCCTTTTATAAAACCCCCTTTAATATTTCTTTCAGGGCCTGCTTAGTGGTCACATATTCTTTCAGTTTCTGCCAGTCTTGGAAGCTCTGCATCTCTCTAGCCATTCTAAATGACAGCCTTGCAGGATAAATTATTCTTGGCTGCATGTTCTTCTCGTTTAGTACCCTGAATATGTCTTGCTGGGCCTTTCTGGCTTGCCAGGTGTCTATGGATAGGTCTAACGTTATTCTGATGTTCCTCCCTCTGTATGTAAGGAATCTCTTCCCCCAACTGCCCTTAAGATGATTTCCTTGGTTCTAAGAGTTATACTGTGAGTTTTACTATTACATGCCAGGGTATTGGCCTGTTTTCCTTGATCTTGGGAGGAGTCCTCTCTGCCTCTAGGACGTGAATGTTTGTTTCATTCCCCAGATTAGGGAAGTTCTCAGCTACGATTTGCTCAAATATATCTTCTAATCCTCTCTCTCTCTCTCCACCCCCTCAGGGATTCCAATAATTCTGACATTGGAACGTTTCATGGTGTTACTTATTTCTCTGATTCTATTTTCATGGATTCTGAGTTGTTTTTCCCTGGCCTCCTCTTTTCCCTTTTTATCCATTAAATGGTCTTCTAGGTCACTAATTCGTTCTTCTGCCTCATTTACCCTAGCTGTTAGATTATCTAGATTAGATTGGAGCTCACTGATAGCATTTTTAAGTTCTGCCAATTCAGCTTTCATTTCTGCCTTTAGAGATTCTATGTTGCCATTTATCGATTTCTCCATTCTAGCTATTGTCTTCACAATTGCTAGCCTGAATTCCATCTCCAACATCTTGGTTATATCTGAATCCATTTGTAAATCTGTGACATAAGTCATAATCTTTGAGTCTTTCCTATTTTGGAAATAGGAATGACAACTCCTAGTCATTCTGTTGAGGGGTGGTTGAGGGAATGTATAGAGTCCAAATTATTGACCACAACCCAAGCAAGATGCACCCGTTTTCTAGGGACCTTAGGGTTGCTGGCCTCTTGTTTCCCAGACTGTCTTCTGGGGTAGGGGCCTGCTGCACTGTTACTCAGGCAACCCTGTTTGGGCAGAGTTGCCCTGCCCCCTGTGGTGGGGGATGGGCTCAGTGGAAACCAGTTTTGGGGGGCTTTTGTTCTCTGGCAGCTTTCCACATCTCTTCTGAGAGTCAGAGCAGAAGAGACCATTTCCAACCCTCTGCCTCAGAGCAGAGAGATCACAGTCTGTTCTTCAGTGAGCTCTCCAGGCCACATTATCTCCATTTCTGTCTGTGCTGCTATAAACTGCGGCATCCTGGGTTGTGTGCCCCTCAGCTGCACTCCCAGTCCTCACCTCCAGGTCGGGGCTCATCTCTGCCCTTTGTGCTTCTAAAACCGCCAGCCACCCCCAGTTCCCACATGTGGCCCCGCTGCCCTAAAGTCCTTTCCCCGCCACTACCAGTCTGCGAGTCTGTGCCTGGTCCCAGCGCTGGAGGCTATCGCTCACTGGCAGTGTTGGATCCCCATGGCCAGGCTCCCTCCCGCTGCTGTTTATCCTCCAATATCTGCCCGTGGAATCACCGCTCCCTGCTTCATACCTCAAAACCAACCGCCTGTGAGATTATGTTTGTAGAGATCCAGATCTGTCTTCTTACATCTCAGGCTGATTTCGTGGGTGTTCAGAGTGGTCTGGTAGATACCCAGCTCAATTCCAGGGACCAATTGGAATAGAGTTCCCTACTCCTCCGCCATCTTTTCCCCAAAAATATAAATTCTACATTTTAGATAAAACAGACAAATTACCCAAAAATCACAAACTATCAAAAATCACTCAAGAAGAAACAGATAACTTGGATAGCCCTATATTTGTTAAAGAATTTAATTTGTAGTTAAAAACTCTCCCACAGGGGCACCTGGGTGGCTCAGTTGGTTAAGTGTCTGCCTTCGGCTCAAGTCATGATCCCAGGATCCTAATAATAGCAACTTTTATTCAGAAATAGTGAGCTTCAAAGAAGCAGGGTATAAGTGACTTAGAGATCCTGTGACATTTTTTTTTCTACTTTCTGATGTGTCATGAACGTAAGAATAGCTGGGGAAAAGCTTAAAGCCAGATTATAACAAAAATCAGCCTCTAGAGGGTGGTGCTAAAGTGCTCTAGGGCTGACTGAGAGGGCTGGGAAGGCAAACTTGCTCCCCTGAAATAAGTTGTAAACAAATTGTTTTCAAAATGCGACCCTCTTCTGAGGCCCCCTAAATTCCTCTTCCAAAGAGGTGGGAGCCATGCAGATGAAAGCCGGGGCATCTGGTCCTTTGATAGAGGCAATCAGTGGAGTGCTGATAAATGTTTAACCACCAGCTGGAGCCAGACCCTGATCTGCAGCATTTGCCAATTTCCATGGTGTAAATATTCCCACCCAGGCCTGTTTCACGCTCCCAATGTGATGGCCCTGAAGACTCATTTGAGTCTCTCCAGCACACCCCCGGATGAAGCTCAAGTGCACGAGCTCTGGAGACAACACTAGGGGTTCATACTCAGCTCTGACACTTAGTAGCTGTGGGACCTCAAGAAGGGTTACTGATTCCTCCTTGGGCTCCACATTCCTATCTGAAAAGTAGGTCACAGGATTACTGTGAAGAATAAATGGATACATCAATTTTACATAAAACAGCACATGATAAACGATCAGTAACCATTAGCCATTTAGAGTGATGTTGTTGTTATTTCTGTAACCAAAGCGGAAGAATGACTATGGCTTCTCATATTAAAAGAAAAGAAAAGGCAGAGTAAGTATTACATAAATAATTTTGCAGCAAGGGAAACAACATTTAACTCATACTTAGGTAATGCATCTCTCAATTGTTCCCTATAATTAATACAAATCTTCCTCAACTTATAATGGGGTTACATCCTGATAAACTCATCATAAGTTGAAAATATCCTATGTCCAAAACACATTCACTACAGCTAACCTCCCAAACATCATAGCTTAGCCTGGCCTAACTTAAACATGCTCAGAACAACTGCATTCACCTACACTTGGGCACAGTCATCTAGCAAAAAGCCTATTTGATAATAAAGTGTTGATTCTCTCATGTAATTGATTGAAACTGTGCTGAAAGTGACAAACAATGGCTGTGTGGGTGCAGAAGGGTTGTCAGTGTACTGTTTGCTGTTTGTCCGCCCTCATGATCCCCAAAGAGGATAGTCCCGCATAACTCCAGCCCGGGAAAAGATCCAAATTCAAAATTCAGTGTACAGTTTCTACTGGATGCGTACAGTAAGGTCAAAAAATCATAAGTTGAACCATCGTGGGGACTGTATATATAAAATTCACCTATAAAAGAGCTCTAGTGTTAGTGAGAATTTGACATGACAGGGTATGGGCAGGAATTCTGATTTCTCTCTATTGCGTCTTCCTGGGAAGAAGCCTGACTATGACCTGTGCATCTAGACATTCATTCAACACTCACTGAGTGCCTATCATGTGCCCCCTGCCCCCCAAGCCTACAGACACACCGGAAGGGAGCTATAGCACCCACGAGGGAACACACAGCCTCTCTGAAGTTAGCCAGACAGACAAGAGATCAGTGATTGGATTCCTCAGACAGTGTCAGGCAAATTCTACCTTGATTCCTCTACAGACGTCGAATTTCTCTGCTCAGTTGGCCCACTGAAAGGATTTTGCTCATTCCGTGTTGTTCCCTCTTTTCTCTAAGACTTCAGATCTCGTGGAGGTTCCTGAAGAACCTGACGGGCCAGGAGGTGGGTATGACCCACGGAAACGCAGCAACAGTGGTGAGTGACCGAGCGGGGGCGGGGGAAAGGCATACCCCCAGCAGGGATGTGAAGGGCACTGCTCATCCTGGGCCGTGGCCAGGGAAACTTGACTTCCAGTTCTCTTCTTTCTCTGCTAGCTCTGGAATTCAGTCTGAGCAGGTGTTCAGTATTCTGGAGGGAAACTGGGCATAATTCCTAGTGGATCTCCGTGATTTGACTGCAACTTTCCCTGAGTTCTCATCCCTTATGGACTTAGCTACATTGGGGTCTAGGAGTCACTTCTGGATCTTTTTGTTAATACATCATTTCCCCCACTGACCTACATTAGATTAGCAAACCATTCTGGAAAGAAGCCACTCCCTTGCTACAGCTGAAGTACCCCAGACCAGGTGGGTGGTGAGGTTGCCAGGTGAGTACCAGCCTCACACGTGGCTCTTCCCCAGCACAGATACCTAAGACTCAAAAACTGATCTGTATGATCTAGCCAAATATTCTATATAGATGTTATTTCATTTTCTCATGGCTTAGGCCCTTGTTAACAATCATTTCTAGAATTTTTATTGAATGCTAACTACATACTGTTGCTTGCTAACGTTAAGAAAGAACCTCTTAAACCAGAGTTTAAAGAAACAACCAGCCCCTTATGGAGGAATCTTGCCGAGCCTTTCTGATGTCAGCAACTACTTAATCTCCACTCATTTATGCAAAAGGTATTTATGAAGTATTTACTATGACTGGCAAAAGTACCTGAGTCACCAGGCTCTCCTCAGGTCTCTCATAACCTAGCCAAGTTGCGGGTTCTGATTTGCGTTGTTAACCTGGGTTGAATGCATTCTCCTGGTGGAAATTATCCCTGCATGGGAAGCATGGGGATGTGCGGCCTTGGGTAGATTTTTCACTTGGCTAGTCGCCTCTGCCCTTTCCAGACTGGAAGCAGAAGGTCTGCATTCAGTACCCCAAAGCTGCTTTCTCAGCAACTGTCTTATAAGGTATCTCTTCCATTTCCTTAGCTCTAGGAGTTCATTTAAGTCTCTTCTCTAGTTAGGACGGTGTCTCTGTGATTCCCACATGAGAATCCTCTGTGATTCTCCTTCCTAAATAAGCATCAATGTTCACCATGGCCCCCTTGCCAAGCCCACTCACATCTGCTAGAGTGCACTGCTAAGCTAAGGATTCTTTGGCATCACATAGAGAAAACTGCACTTTCAGATCAATGTAAACATTCACTGAGCACTTAGCAGTGTCATTAGAGAGACAAATTAGAGTGCCGGCCACCAGGGGAAACTCACAGCGGGGCAGTAATGCTACAGGGCCACCCAGCCCAAGTCTGTCTAACACCGCAGATACGGCAACTGAATTTGGCCAGAATTCTTCAGCATCTGAGCACGAACTCACCAGACACAGGTATTAAGCCAGATCTTCATGTTAACACTTCAAGTCTGGTCAGCTGCTCTGTCCTCTGAGTCTGACTTCTGCCTGCATCCTTCCCTGATACGTCTCACCAAATTGCTCATCACTAACTGCATGGACATATTTGGTCCTCAGCCCCTCCTTGCTCTGGAGGCTGACCACTGGACTTCACTCAGTGGTCACGTGGCCTCAAAGCAATGACCTGGTCTCTCTGCGTCAATCTCCTCATCTCTGAAATGAAGATAATGATAGTACCGAATCCATAAGGTGCTGTGATCATTAAATGAAATAATGAATGTAAATACTATACATACATTGATGAATCTGAAACTTCAGTCCCCTCTGCTGCCTCCAGATGCCTATCGCCCACTGGACACGGCCATCTGAATGCGGAGCAGGCATCGTGACATTAACTCACTCATCATTCACTCACCTACCCACCCACCCCAACCGGCTCTTCCCCGTTTGTCCCTGCTCAGTAAATAGGAACTCCGTTCTGCTAGTCAATCTTACTCCAGGTCAGAACTTTTGGCATCAGACTTGACTCCACCCTTCTTCTCACGTCTTGTAGCCAATCTGTCAGTAAATCTTACTTTCTAGTCTTCAAAATCATTCCCGGCATATGCCTACTGCTTACCTTTCTGCCTCAGGCATCCCAGCCAGCAATATTGGTGCTCTTGTTCACCTCTTCCTAAGTAGTTAAGGTCTCTGTTTGCCCTGGAGATTTCTTTACTCAGAAAGTGGTCTTTGATAAGTCTTTATGTGAAGGAGTTATATTTGAGAATCATCAAAGTGAAGCATGTTTGCTTGTAATAAATTCATCATGAAGTCATCAAGTGTCAAAGGTGCAACCTAGAGCCTCTCCACTCTCAAGTGTGGCCCATGGACCAGCAGCCTGGACATCACTAGAGAGGCTGATAGAAATGCAGAACCTCAGGCCTTTCCAGAGCTGTAGAATGATAATTTGAATATTAATCTTATTAAAGTTCAAGAAGCAGGATGAGAAGTCGTTTAGTCCAACTCCCTCCCCTCCAATACACACAACACCCATACATACACACACAAACACATACTGTGTGGATAAGGAAACTGAGGCAAGATGTAATACACTCAAAGACACAAAGTTGAATATTTGCCATTTCTTTTATGTTAAGAGGCATTTTTAGAGCCTCATTCAAAGAAATCTGTTGAAAGAACTTAGCAAGCAATAAACCTCTGTAAAGCTTTGGGGATCTATTAGCTATTCCTTTGATCAGCAATAGCTTTCTTTACAATGCACCCTTGGAAGCTGGAGGGATTAATTATGCAGCAGTTTGCTTCAAAACATGTTCTTGTGATTGGATTTAATCCCCTGTCCATGCAGTTTGGGAAACAACGCAGAGAAAACACCCTGCTTGTGTGTCCAGGCTCCCACTGGTCTCCCCACAGTCATGGCATGGAGGGTGCTGGCTTTTCAGAAGCAGCACTTGGCTTCCGGTCACAAGCTGTTCTGCATGACACGTTTCGTTTATGTTCTAAAAATTACACAGTGCATACAGGTGTTGTTTCTGCCAGCCAAGTGTCATGTCAAAATCCTTGAGGAGGATTTCCAAAGGCACCTTGGAAGAGGTTACAGTTCATACTCCTTTCTTTTTTACCAAGCATGCAGTCTCTGTTTTCTCTCTCATGAAAGATGTTGGGCAGGTCTGACTGTTTCTGGTTGTTGTTTTCAACACTATTTGTGGATGCATCAGAAATACAGAGGGGAGAGTTGCTGTCTTCACCTTTGGCCAGAAACTCCACTTGAAGCAATGTGATGAGCAAAGGGAGAAGTAAAATCTAGACTGCCTATTTCAGCTCAAAATGCCAAATAATGACGTTATTGGCTGCCTTCAATAATTGCATTTCAGTGTGACTTCTATGCGATTATAAATTTCCTGGAAGAGAAGCAGAGGGAAGAGAACATAAGTAAGACAAATACCTAGAAATATTCTTCAAAAAGAACTGGGTTAATCACATCCACTGGAGGATATTACAAAGCCCAATGATACCTTACTTTTCACTGAAGCAAAGAAATTTTGCCCAGAAAGGAAAAAAGCAAGCTCGGATTTGGAAAATTTATCCTTGCCTTTAACATGCACTGATTTTATATCTCACATTTTGATTTGTCACCCAGAAAAGGAAGCAAATATTTTAATGCCTTCTTTGACAGATACCCTAGTATCTAGATGTCTCATATCTAGAGCAGGTAAAGGTCTTTTTAAAAGCATAGAGGACTCTCTTTCCAGCTATGTGGAGGGCTGGATGTTTAGAGAAATTTTTTTCTACTTTAGCACACCTAAAATTGCTGGGAAAAAGAATTAAAAAGAAAGTTCCAGTTAATGCATGCCTGAGCTGGCAGCAACATAAGGCAATTCCTTAGAGTCTAGAAATGACAATAAAGCATGAATCCAGAGACATAAGCAGGTGAAGGCTATTGTTTATTCTGCACATCCCTGGGGCCTCAGATTGGGGAAGAATAAGCTCCTTATATGGTCAATAGGGAATAAGACCTGGCTAGCAGGCAGAGTAATAGGTTCAATGAGAGGCCCTTTGGGAAAATGCTGATACCCCAAAAGGCACCCTTAGTAGCAGTAGGAAAAAAGAATGCCCTGCAGAGGAATTTAGTAAAGAAAAATGCTATATTGGCCTTAACTCAAGTGGGGAAGAAAAGAAAGAAATGGAATAAGAGCAGGAAGAAAGAAAAAGAGAAAACAAAGGAGGGAAGAAACTCTTAATTTGGTTTAGGGCCTGAATTCATACTACCTCTGTGGACAAAGTAAAATAATTTAAAATTTTAGTTGAATTTCTTTAAAGTGGCCCAGTTGGATAAATGCACCAGACATTTGGCAGAAGTAATACAAATGGCCTCTGGAGGAAGAGAATTTAAACCCAGACCTCAGAAGTTTCCACAAATGAACTTCCAAAGGACATGAGCTAAAAATTGAAATACACCAAATACATGAGAAAATGAGCTACCATGTGTAAGAGTTAGCCAAAACCACCTTTTTTATGATCAGACTTCAGAGATTATATATGTTCGAATTATCAAATAAAGAAATATCTTACTAGGGATGCCTGGGTGGCTCAGTCAATTAAGCATCTGCCTTCAGCTCAGGTCATGATCCCAGTGTCCTGGGACTGAGTCCCACATCAGGCTCCCTGCTCAGCAGGGAGTTTCCTTCTCCCTCTCCTTCTGCCTGCTGTTCCCTCTGCTTGTGCTCTCTCTCTCTGTCTGTCAAAGAAATAAATAAAATCTTAAAAAAAGAAATATCTAACTATATAGTTATATATATTTAAAGATATAAAAAATGGACTAGAACACACAACAAAAGAGTAAGACACTATCAAAGTTGAACAGGCAAATTTTAAGAAAACCAAACAGAACTTTTAGAAATTAAAAAAAGAAGAAGAAATTTGCTTGTTGGATTTAATAGCATATTAGATATAGCTGAAGAGAGAATTAGTGGCGTGGAATACATAGGCAAAGAAATTTCTTACTGTAGAGCCAGGGAGACAAACCAATAGAATTCATGACTTGAAAGAGACACAGAAGATGAGCAGGAAAGTCCAACATGCATCTAATTGAC